GGTACACAGACGGCWGAGGAGGTAGTAGATTGTGTAGACAGCTATTCTTTAATCCCTGCACATAGTGTCTGTAGGAAATTGGTCCCAAGGCTCTCACAGATGCCAAAACTCAAGGGTTCTCAAGTCCCTTATGGCAAACGGAATGATATTTACATGTACCCAACTCTCTGGCCTGTCACCAGCCTGCAGGGGCAGTAAAGCTTTTGTCTGTTAAGGGTTGATGCTAACAGTGAGGGGCACACCTCAGGAGGGAGACAGAGCCTGTAGAAAAGGGCGCCCAACCCAGTCTCACTTCAGCATGGATGGACCCGGGGTTCCCATCCAAATTTCTGATGGCTTTTCTCTTTCCATCAGGACTAGGGGATCTGTGGGCTGTCTAGCACCCCACATCAGGTGGCACATTGGGGCATCCTGCAGGAGTCTGGGAGATGATGCACACAGCTCACAGGTAAGATCTGTGCTCTCTTTAAACCTTCTTGAGAAGATTCCAGGGACCAACAATGAGCCTTACTGCAGTGTACGCTGAGAATCCCTGGCCATTTTGATCATGGAGCCACTTGATTTTAACTTGGAATTTYGGAGTTGGGTGCCATTTGTTTTTGTTAGGCGTCACCCCCTCCTGCGCTGCCCTCCTACAATGTGCCCTGTGCTTTTCAATCACGTGCACACCAGTCCCGTCCAGGGCGGTAGCCGCTGTCACCTGCTTCCGAAGTGAGGCCAGCAAAGCAAGTCAAAAGAGTGGAAAACTTGGGCGGGCAGGCAGTCGAGAGATGACCAAGGGTCAGTGACTGTGGGTCAGTGCCCATGTTACCTGTGGACACATGCGTATGAGGTAGCAGCTTCCAACAGAAGTGGGCTTCCAGGGAAAGAGAGGGAGGTAAGGAAAGGCTGAACTCCTAACGAAGGGTTCAGGACTCTCCAATTTTGTGTTGCATAGTTGATCCCAAAAGGACCAAACAGGCCACCAAAATACAAAACAGAATCATGAATGATAGGCATCCAAGCTAATTTCCTCTCTTCTTTCTTTAGGTATACTGGAGAAAAATGGGAAACAGAAAAGRAACTTTTGATTGAGAAGCTCACACTTTTTGGTTCATCTGATCTTCTGTCCCACAAGACGGTGGGTGTGCCAACTGGAGAGGTCTCAGCAGCATTCTCCCTGGGGATGCTCTCCCTGGGTGGCTTTCTACTTGGGACATTCTCTTTATGGATGTTTTCCTTGGGTGACATTCTCCTTGGGTGACAGAATCTTGGGTGATCTCTCCCGTCTTAGCAGCCACACCCAGGCCCTGGATTGTCAGCCACTTAGGACACAAGGTGCCACATCGACAGTGTCTAGCATGGCATTTAGCATTGAGTAGGGTCTTAAATGTCATTGACTAGAAGGTTCTGTGGGGACAGCTGTAGGGCCTCTGAGACGCTGAAGGCACCAGGCACAACTGTGCTGATCCCTGGGGAAGACGCATTGACCGTCGCTCTGGGCACGCACTGGTCACCCTTCAGTGTGCTCTGCTGCTCTGTCAYGCTGGGAGGCAGTGCAGTCTGATGGGGGCGGTGTGGTGCTTTCCTAGGTCCTTGAGCCATGACCAGAGATGGGCAGCAGCAGCTATGTCCCTCCATTGCCCATCCAGTCCTCAGGGTGTCCGTGTTTTCCCCCGAGAGCTGAGCAGAGTGAGTGAGTAGCCAGGTTGGTATCCACTGCCGGCTCAGTGTTCAGTTTCTTCTCAAGGAGAACCAGGGGGTCCTGGTGCCAGAGTTGGAGGCAGAGATGCCATTTGGAAATGCCAGCTTTCCATTTTGGGAGACTCACTCTGGGGGACTATCCACGGCCCCTGGCTGTATAGTTCAGAGTCCCTTGCTCACTACATAATGAATAGTGATAACAGAGTCTCCAAGTCCCAATTGTCCATTTTCAAGCTGGACAGAGCACCCACACTGTCTGGAGAGCAGCCAGAACTTGTGAACAAGGAGCCAGTGGCATCCTGTGGGACGTCCCCACCCCACCAACAGAAGGCCACCAGAGTCTGCTTTGCAGGGGACAGAGGAAAAAGGAGCCTCAGTGTCTTGGCTGAATTGCCAGACTTTATCTCTGTTGGAAAAGCAGGAAGTGGGAATCCAGCCCCATTTGCGGCATGGTCAGTGATTGCCCGTGGCTAGTACATGGGCTGTCAGGAGGATGAGCCCCAGGGGTCATCTCCTGCACTGTACATCTGCCCTGCTGCCTCAGCTGGTGGAGACAGCATCCCAGGAGATGGAGGCCACCAATCCCTCCTTCTCACCTACACCTCAGGGCGTGCAGCTCTCCTCGGCTTCCAAGGGGATAACAGCAGCCATCAGGGAGCCCCTTGGACACTGACSGGTGAACATCGCTTGCTCTCAGTGGCTCCACCCCAGGTGACAGTGGGTTTTCCTGTCGATGTGTCGTCAGTGGCCATGCCTCTCTGACATCTGGGACCCTTGCTCACCATGCGTGCACACTAGCACGGAATGTCTCTGCCTGGAAGCGGCACCGGGGAGTATCTCTGAGCACTAGTTGCTCTGATGGGTGCAGGTTAGCTCTAGGGCTGGGGTGCACTTCCCCAGCCGGGTAAGAACTGACGCACAGGACTGTGCTGTGGATACATCCACACCACTGGAGAGGGTTTTTGAACCAGGAATTGAYGAATTGTTGGGCACACAGAAGGCACAGAAGTGTCCAGAACACAGCTGACCAAAGGCTCCCGAAACACAGTCAAGGCTCATGCTGAGAGCTGGAAAATCTCATGGAATATGAAATGTTTGCCTAAAAMGTCACCCAGAATTTCAAGTGCTTAGAACAGAAATGGTTCAAAACTGCATTTCCTCATGCCTAATGGATGCTGGAAGGTATCACTTGTAATTTATTAGTTAAAATGTCCCCTCTACTAAAAGCAAAATGAGAATGAGGAAATGAAAATAGTGAAGCACTGTGGAGACACAGGGGCAGCCTCGGCTCCTGCCTTCCCACTGGGCTCAGGAAACACAGGGTGCACTCTGTCTTCACCTCAGTCCCACCCTAGAGAAGAGGCGGCAGATGCAAACCCCACCAGGAATCCCCCTAAGTGGAATTTGCAGAAGGGGAGGCCTGAGCCACGGCCCTCTCCACTCAGCACAGAAGCCTCAAAGACGTGTCTTTGTGTGTCCTCCTATGTGAGCAGGCGGAACACAGGTCACAGGACAGAGCACCACACGTGCAGTACTTATGGGCCTGGGTCTCCTCTGGCAGTGATCACAGTGCTTGGAACTAGACATCGGGGAGGTCCACCCAGCACTGTGAACAGCACCCTCTAAGATGGACCATGTCTTACCAAACTTTACCTCAATAACAACGTAAGCACAGGAGCAAGGTGTATCTGGCATTGTGCTGGGACTCCACCCAGTTCCCTGGAGTTCCAAGCAGGGGTCCCGGCTCCCTGAGACTGCCTCCCTGTGTGGCTGCTGGTGTGAGCTTTCACGCATCTCCRGACTGGGGTGGCTTGGAGAGACCACGGCCAGTCTGGAGCTCTGTTTCAATATTGAGCTGAACTCCTTCCACATTCTTTTTYCAAAGTGTGAAGAAGCCTGTGGGTCGGTGCTGCCTGTCTGGGATTTAAATCACCTTCCCTGCTCAGGCAAAGCCGTATGACCTCGTCCCCACTCGAGCCACCTGCTGCAGAGCGGGCTGATATCTGATGGCCGCCGCGTCAGCTCTGCATTCTGCTTGCCAGGAGGGTGGCACAGAGGCAGACGCGGGAATGGCACCACCCTGGGGGGTCCCCTGATGCCTGTGAAATATATTTTTAAGGAAGGCTCTTTCCAATTCTCTTAAAAGGAGGATATATCTTTCATCTCTACAAGCAAAGGGTGAAACTGAATTTTCCTGAAGTTAAATGGAGATTCAAAGTGCTCTTTGAATTACAGATCTAATGCTCTGTTTTAAAATACACAGGGAAGCTTGGCTTTTGTTTTTAATGTTTAAAAGATGAGTGTGGCTGGAGCGTTAGGATGTGCACTGAGTGTAGCTATGAAGAGACAGCTCTGCCGCGGTTCCTACCACCTAGGGCTGCCCTGCAGCTACCCCTTTCATTTCAGAGAAGAAAGCAGAGGATTCATTAAGATAGTGTCAGCTGTGGCATTTAAAGCCAGAAAACAGTATTTATACAATAGCATAAGAAACTTCATAAAAAGTTGAACAGCTGGGTAGGATGATCACAGGGGACACAGTTATCTGGGATCATTCTACTGGGTATAAAATTACTGACAGGTTAAAGGAGCATGCCAGTCCTCACACCAGCATGTTAGGGCAGGGGAGAATGCTGTGGCTTCACGTGGCCTTTGAGTCCAAGCCAAACACTACACTGTAGGCGAGTGCCAGAACTCGGAGCCAGATGGCCAACTTTTACACAAAACTAGCAATTGTGGAGGACTGGTCTCCATGTCAGGTGAACTGGCTGAATACGGGTTTCTTGGGAGCCCAGGGGGTGAGTGGGGTACTTGTGAAAGCAGGGGTGATTGGAAGCCTCTACCACCAGGAAAGGCCTCGTCTCCAGAGCAACATGCCCTGCCCTCAGTGAGGGAGACGTCTCCACGAAAGGAGGCCAACCCTGAAGGATCAGGAGTGGGTGCAGCTACACACGCCAGYGCCTAGCCCAGAACATTCTTGGAAACTCCTGGTTTAGCCCAGTGTCTGGCTGTCTTTAAATAAATGAATCGAAAATCATTAATTAAAACTTAAAAACACTGAGACCTTCAAATTGCACTCGTGAGTCTAGAAGCGTAGAGACCAGCAGGCCAAGCGCCGACGGCAGAAGTGCTGGGTGCAGGAATGAGGCAAAGAGCGGGGAAGGGCGCCTGCTGGAAGGGGAGGACYTTGGGCATCGTGACTTGCTCTCCCGCCCTGCCACAGGACAGACTGCCGTCTTCAGAAATGCCTTCCCACACCCACTTTATTCAGCCCGCCACGCCCTCGGGACCAAGGCCCCTTTCCCACAGGCTCTTCCTACCTCGACAGGTGGGCAGGGGGCTACTCCACTGGCCGTTGCTCCGACACTGGGCCCGGGACGCACCCTGAAGCAAGTAGCCCGTGTGGCAGGTGAAATTCACCAGGTCATTCAGGTTGAACTCGCTGCCRTTGGTGAGCCCGTGGGCGGGGTTCCCCGGGTGTCCACAGGTGATGGCTGCGGGAAGACAGGTCTACGTCACTCTCCGTGCTCAGCAGGCACGGCCAGCACCTGGCACTGACGGCACAGGTKAGCAGAGGACATGCAGGCCAGGGTCTCCCACTGCCGCTGCACAGGTGAGCGTGCTTCCCGGGGGCTGTGGGAGACCAGCCACAGGCCTGATGACAGGCAGGTATTACCACCACGGTGGAAACCAAGCAACACCTGCCACTGACTATTACTCCTAGTCGAGTCGTGACAGAATAGCAGTGATTTAAAAACAAGAGATGTCCAGAAGGTTTGTAATGATCCTGCATTTTGAATATTGTCCCCTACGCCACACCAGTTTGAAATATCATGGGGTTTGCTTGAAACTTTGAGTGTTCTATGTGAAATGTTTCCAATACCAATTTAAATATCACGAAATTGGCAAAATAACTGCACACTCCGATRTTGCTCTACTGACAGTGCCTAGCATGGGGTCCTTGGAGACGCAGTGAGCTGTCCCTAGGCATTCCCTACATCATGGCCAYGTCAGCAAGGGGATGTCTGGACCTCTCAAAAGAAAGGCCACAAAGCTGGTGTCTTCCTCCTGCTTGTCTCGTCAACATCTTTCCTTCTAAGTAAAGCTTTTATCTCTGAGCTTTGCACAGCACCCCAACACTGTCACAGGTGATACCTGTCACTGCAGTGTGGTACATCAACATCTTGTTTGCTTAATTCACAGAAAAACAAAGAATATCTCAGAAGARCATTTGGTCTAAAGGGAATTTTGCAGCAAAATTCGTATCGTAAAACCAGCAGCCAATATTCGTCCTTGAAGGTCTAGAGTTGGAGGACGGTTATCACACCACACCCCGCCTCTGGCTACCAAAGGACGGCTGACTACACTCTGGAGTCATGGTGAATCCGTGGCCAATGCAGACAACACACAAGTATAAGGGAGTGTGGCCCCTTGAGGGCCCTGTGGAGCTGACCTGTGCCCAGACAGGAGGGCGCACTCCTCCATGGAGGGGTTTCCACCTCCAGCTCTGTGCCAAGCTCTGGGGAGCAGACACGGGACACCTTGTCCCTGGACCCATTGAAAATGAGCTGGGGAGTGAATTCACGTGGACAGGAGGAAGGGGATCGAAGGGGTGGGAAGGGAAGCACCCAGATGGCACTCATGCCCCGAGGGGACGGTGAGTGGGAGAGCGTGCTCTTGTGCTCAGGAGGGAACACGGGAAGCATGACGTCACAGCAGAGGGGTGAGCAGGAGGGGAAGCCCCAGGGGGCAGGTCCGAGCTGTACTCACGGACACAAACGGGGGTCTGCCCCGACCACTTGTGGTCCTGCAGGCATATCCGAACGGAAGTGCCCACCAGCCGGAAGCCAGGCTTGCACTGGTACACCACCGTGTCCCTGTAGCTGGAGCCGTCCCCACTGATGTGGCCGTTCACGATCGGGTCCGGGGAGCCACAGTGGCCCGCTGAAAAACAGAAGCAAGCCGCAGGAGGGACTGAGAGATGGCCTTCTGCAACGAGCTACGAGGTGACTATGATTTTGGTCAAGACAGCATGGGAATCTCCCCATATCCATGATGTTTTATACAGTTTTTCTTTTCCTAATAATTATGCATAAATTAAGTTCTGTTTCTAATATGAAATCATTTACGATTATTTCCCGAGTTAGGGTTTCCCCACTGATCTATACTACTGTGGCATATTAGGTCACTTATGTGGTCTATTTCCAAATACATGCCCCAGAGAGGAGGAAACACTGTGGTCAACACGAGCAGGGCCTGCAGCCCGCCGGCAGAAAAGAGAAGAGGAGGAATTTCAGCAGGAGACAGGGTTGGGARTTGCAGAGGGGGAGAGACCAGAGGGTAGGTGCCTGTCAGACACCTGAGTCACAGGTGAGCCAGGGAGAGGGGAAGGTGGCTGAGACCCACAGAAACAGGTGTCCATGGCGGGGCAGGAGTGGAGGGTGGCCACGGGTGCACTCAACTGGCCTGGACCTAGGAGACTTGAGAGGAAGGCTGGCAGGTGGGCCCAGGGGAGCCTGAGCCGGGAGGCAGCCACGCGAGATCAAGTGGAGGCAGTGCGCAGGGTGGGCTGGCCCTGGCCGCTGCCCTCTGCACAGAGCGTGGAGCCAGGGGTGCTCTGAAGTCGGAGGACAGCCAGCTAGGAAGAGTGGCAAGCTGTCAYACCCCATGGGGCTCATTTCACCACCATGGAAACATCTAAATCATGCTCTCTATTTCTGCTTAGGCCAGCGTTAGAGACCTGCGTTCTCCTGGTCCTGGAATCAAACCTATTATCAGCACGGTGGCATGATGAGTGAGGTCACGTGTGCTCAAGGACTAGGAGGATTGCCCTGGGGTGCAGACATAGGCTGCAGAGACCTGTGTCCACCCCAGGCACTCTGCTTGTCCAGCGCTGGCCCAGCATGCAGCCCCAGCCAGGAGGACCAGTGTGTTCCCGTGTACCCCAGGGTTCCAGCCACTTCTGAGGGGATGGGCAGATAATGAATTTTTAGAACACAGAGCAAAATGACACAGTGGGATCCCCCMAAAGCATGGGCCACCTACTTCCTGGTGCATTCTAGGTGGTGCTGGGTACTTGGGGTCACCTTTGAAGCCTGTCATCACTCGAGAGGAGGGGACTTGGGACCAGGCACAGGGATGCTGAAGAAGGGGCATCCAACCACGTCCCCGCTCTCTTTCCTGACCTGGGAAAACCTGTCCAGCCACACTCACTTGTAAACTTAGTTACTTGAGTTTTGAGTCAGCGAGCGGAGTCTGAGGCAGCAGGCAGTGAGCACTAGCAGTGAGCCCTCTCCTGGTGAGGAGGGGTCTGCCCTGAGGGAGGCAGGGCAGCCCCTGTGGGGACCATCTCCTGCAGCAGCCCTCTGACCATGGTGGACTGGGATCTCTGAGGGGCCAGCACTGAGCCCCTGGGGAAATGYAGGTGTCTACGGAGACACTTCACCCCAGCCCAGCGCTCCCAGACGGCAGACTCCACAGGTGGCTTGCTCCCTGATGCTCCCCACGTGGGCTCCTGTGGACGGCTGGCTTCCCAATGTGAGGAGGTGGCAGCAACTCCTTTCCACTTACTGTGCTCTCAGACTCTCGGATCCTCAGAACTGCCTTCTCTAACACCGTCAAAGCCTTAGAACTACTATAGCTATTCACAAATACAGGTCATCCACACACCCTCACTTACAGCGTTTCACCCAAATCTCCATTCTACTGTGTCAGAAGGCTGCGGAAGGGGACCTGCCTTAGAGGGAATGTGAACGAAACCCACATTCCTGAGCTCCTGCTGTTCAGAATATTTTGCTATGTTCTTGGCACAAGAGGRTAATATTTGCTACCTTCCCTGCTGCCACCCTGCTTTGGTGTCTCAGGCTTGACACATGCAGAGCTCTCTCTGTGCCTACCATCAGACTGGTATGTCATGGTGTTCATGTCCTGAACCGTTACTCATTCCTTAATGCTCCCGATGAAGAGAAGTAAGCTGACTTCGCCGCTGGACAGTAGTGTCCTTCAGGTACTGAATGCGTCCTCTCCTGTGCTGACTTTCACGTCAGTGATCCACTCATCTGCCCTGGGCCAGTGATGTTGGTGGTGCTGGGGATTGAGTGAAGAGCAGATTCCATCATGGAGAATATCCCATGGACAGACAGCACATGCAGGGACCTCCTGGGATGGACGTGGGCGGCAGARACTGGAGTCACAGAGGACCGGGGACCCTGCCTGAAGGGGGAGCTCTCAGGYCCTAGGAGGAGCCACTCTAAACCAGTAAGGGCCACTGAAAGGACTCTAGAAATGGAAATCAGGAATCTCAGTCACTCTTTGGGGTCTCTCCCTAACTACAAGGAGGAAGACTTCATCTGACCCACGCGCACACAGCAGACTCACTCTGTGGCTCTTCCACTGTGACGGGGACTTAGTAGCTCCAGCTCCACAGAGTGTGAGCAACAGCAAAGAAGGACAAAAACTYTATTCACTGCAAAATTAAAACATATGGGGGGAGGGCTGCCCTGCTCGGCTGAGAACAGCATATCGAGTACCTGAAGTCGTGCGGTCATCTGGCCGACCCCAGGCCGCCATGCCAGGTCCAGGCKCTTTTCCCCTGAGGTTTGGCTCTAGCATGAACACTGCATGCTTTCTGCGAGCAGGCCTGGGGCAGGAGCGCCCTGGCCATCACTCTCCCTGACCTCCTGGCCAGTGTCAGCGGTAACCRTCACAGCCTGGACAGTGCACTGGGCGTTGAGTGTGGGCCTAACTCCTACCACACTTACCCGGAACCCACAAGCCTGGCACTCCTGGACCCGGAGAACTGACAAGGGAGTGACGGAAGGTTAGAGAGATGCTGAAATCTAACCTTCAGTTTCCAGTCAACATACAGACGGGGACAGATTTAGATAAGTCCTAAAGGCACTGCCTCCTCTTCTTTCTGTTCAACCATGAAGTGACAAATTCCTTCACTACCACCTTCTAGAACYTCTCCATCCCACCCCCACCCCTGTGCTCGGGAGGTGGGACTATGCCACGGGTAGTTCACCACCTTCCCCAAACTGGCTCAGAAGCAAAATGGAGAATTCAGTGCCAAGGTAGGTACTTGGACTGTGTTTAGGCTCAGCTAAGTATTTTACACACTAAAACTCAAAAAACAAACTAGATAAAATCCGCCATTGCAGAGGGCCTGCTGGAACTCACTAACAAGGACAGAGCACGGGCAGTTCCACAGCCCGGCCTGAAGTGCACTGTGAGGAAGGGRTGGACCTGGGTTCTGCACCTCCCACCAAGCACGGCCTGTCTCCCTAGTTGGCACAGGGTCTCCCCCTACCCAGCTTTGAAACTCGCTCTCACTGTATTTTGGTTACAATAGGAAAAAAATTTATTTTAACACTCTCTAAAATTGGTTCACGAGGACCTAAAATCTGCCGAATAACTCTTCCACCCTAGCTCTGAAATCAGGAGCCAGATGGATGGAAGGCTGAGTTGTCTTCCAAGCAAGGACACTGAGTGAAGGAAGGCCAAAGCCAGAGCCAGAGGCTGGAGGGCGGCTGGGGGAGACGCCCACTGCCTCAGCACAGGCTTCCCCGGGGCCGGCAGCGAGTGCCCGGCAGCGAGTGCCCGGCAGCGAGTGCCCGGCAGCGAGTGCCCGGCAGCGAGTGCCCTGCGGAGCTCGGGAGCAGAGCAGGTGGCCACACAAGTCCCTGCCCCTCTGTAGCTCTGCTGTCTGACGACCACTTGGGAGGACACGGCAGGAGGCCACTGCTCCACTGTCACCTGTGTAGCTCAGTCACCACTGGGACCAAGGAGCAGTACTCTGGGGTCTCCAGGGCAGCCCTGTTAAGCCCTGTTCTAGAAGGTTCTGTGTGTATGCTACCACTCTACCGTGTGGACGTTCTCGGGTAAGACGGTCCTGTGTGAACCAGGCTCCTGTTCACCCCTCTCTGGTGGAGAGGGTGCGTGAAAGTCAGTTCTCTGGGTGGCCTTGGTCCCTTCCCCTTTCCTGCAGGTACCACGGGGGAATTCTTCCCGCTCCTTCTACAGTGTGGCTCCATGAAGCCCTATTTAATTGAGAGGATCTTATCCCCAGATAGACAGTATTTTTCCACACCGTGGGCCACTYTGTCCTGATGGTGCAATGAGTCAGGCCACTGCTCTCCCGTGGGGRCCTTCTGAGGGACTGACTCGGGAGCCTCTGTGCTAATGGGGGACAGAGAGTGTGGTCAGAGGATCTGCCTTAACCTCACACCAAGGTCACGTGGGGCACTTCACAGGCTGGGAGGGCAGGGTAGAGCCACCTATGAGGACAGCCAGCCCTTCGTCCCACACATTCTGCATCTGCAGCTCAAACACGGATAGAAAATACATCCAAAAAGAGTTTGATTATCATCATTCTCCAAGTGACAGAGCATGACCACCATCTCCTCAGGGTTGCAGATGACCAGGGACAATAAGCCACCTAGAGACGGCTCACGTGCACAGCAATGTGTGCACAGGTCTGTCCTGTGCCTTACATCAGGGACTTGAGCTTTTGTGAATCTTGGGGTTGTGGAACCGGTTCCCATGGATACCAAGGGAAGGTCTGGGAAGATGTGGGGTTGCAGAAATGAGCTCCAATTTGGAGATTATTAGGTTCCACTTGCTCCACAGAAACTCACTGTGCCACCTGGGAGCAGGACCAGGCTCTCCCAGGTGTAGCACAGAAGCTGCAGCCTTTGATGTGGGGTCTGTGCCATTAGCGGGAACCAGGGGGGACATCCTTCTCTCCCAAGGCCACATGCTCAGACACCCACACGCTCTCCCCTCTCAATGTGTCAGTTTCTATCAGAACACACACTAAATATTGGTGTGGGGATTAGAACAAAGCCTATTTTTAGAAAATCTATAAACCAAATGTTCAGCCTTAGTATTGGCTTTGTGATTATTGGGGCTTTTTGCTGACAACCACATTCTCAGCATTGCCAATA